GGACGCGTCGCAAGCCGGCGCGCCGCCGGCAGAAAGGACGGCAAACATACGCCTAAACATTGGCTCACCCGTGCTTGAATGTGGAAGGACCTGCGTTGGCGGACTTCGTCCGTCTCACGCATTCGACGAGCGCGTCGACGCATCGAGAGAAGGTTGCGCGGGCACCAGCTTGCGCTGCCAATTGCCTTCTTGCACGACGCGGTACCGCGGTTGCATGAGCGAGGGCGATGGGCCGAGCCGCGGCGTGAAGCGGTCCATCGCCGACGTGGGCGCCACGAAGCAGGAGGCCCCGCCGGCCGGCGCCCTGGGTGCCGGCGGCGGCCGGCAGCAGGAGTCGATCTACAACTCGCTGCTGCTGCTGCTGCTGCGCGAGAGCGGCGCGGCCGTCGAGCTGCACCGCCTCGTGACCGCGGGCCCCGCGGGCCGCGTCGGCGCGGCGCCCGCGGAGCGCGCCTACGAGCGCGCGATCGAGGCGCAGCGCACCTGGGTCTGCGCGCTGGTCCGCCGGCCCGCGTCCCGGCCGTGTTACGTCGCGCCCCGGACGACCGCCCCCCGCGCAGGCGCCCTGGGCCGAGCGGTCCGCGGCCTTCGACGGCGCGACCTGCGACCGCCTCGTCGATTTCACGAAGCGCCTCGTCGCCGTCTCCGAGGCGCTGGACCGCGTCGCCGACGGCGACGCCTGCCCCCACCACAGCAAGCCCTCGGGCGACGCGGCGGCGCGGCTCTGGAGCGACCACGCGGACGCCGACGCGAAGCACTCCGCGCGACTCGGCGCCCCCTTTCCGCGGAACGGCTTCCGCGGAATTTTTTCCGCGGACCGACGCCGCGCGCGGGCGCGGCGCGACGCGGCCGGCGCGCCCGCCCCGCGCGCGCGACGCCGGGGCCGCCGCGCGCCGCCAACCCGACCCGCCGCCGCCCCCCCCGCAGGCGGCCCTCGCGCGCGCCGAGGCGACGCTCACCGCGCTCGACGCCATCGGCGCTCGGCTCGGCGGCGTCGCCGCCGAGCTCGAGCGCGAGGGCCGGCGCCGCGGCGCCGCGGCGCCGTTCCACGACGAGACGGGCATCCTGCCCCTCTGCGCGGCCGCCGTCCGCGCGCGGCTCGACGCGGCTCCCCGCGCGGGAACGCGTCGGTTCGCGCGGCCGCGACGACTCGGAGGTTCGCCGAGGGTCGCCGGACCCGGGCCGGCGCGACGCCCCTTTTCCGCGCGCAGGCGACGCGCGCGTGCGCGCGGCTCTGCGCCATGGACCTCTGCCCGCTCCCCGAGGCGCCGGAGCCGGCGGCGGCGGCGGCCGTGACGCCGCCGTCCCCGAAGGCGAAGCCGCCGCCGCTCTAGCCGTCGCCCCCTCGCCCGCGGTTCGCGGGTCGCCCGCGCGCGGGTCGTCGCCTCGCGGGTCGCCGCCTCGCCTCTAACGCGGACCGACCCTGTCGCTCGTTACCTTTAGTGCGCCTCGCCGTCGTCGACGTAGCCGTCCGTCGGGATGTCCGCGTCCTCGAGGCCGTTCTTCGTCAGGATGTCCTCGGACATGAGCGCCCAGATGGGCACGTGGCCGAAGCCGCGCTTCGCGAAGGCCGCCCGCGCGTCGAGGAACTTGATCTCGACGACGCACCTGCGCGCGCGCGCTCGGCGGCCGGCGCGGCGACGCGCCCCGCGCGGCGGCGCGCGCGCACTCGGGCACGACGCCGTCGAACTTGGCGATGAGGTCCAGCGCCGCGAGGAGCGTGCCGCCCGTCGCGACGAGGTCGTCGACGACGAGCACCTTGTCGCCGGCTTTGACGGCGCCGCGGGGGATCGACAGCGCGTCGTTGCCGGCGTACTCCTTCGCGTAGGCCGCCCCGGTCACGGCGTTGGGCATCTTGCCCTTCTTCCGGAGCATGAAGAACGGCTTCTTCAGCGCGAGCGCGAGCGGCGGGCCGAGCACGAAGCCGCGCGCGTCGAGGCCGCAGACGCTGTCGATGTCCGCGTCCCTGTAGCGCTCGACGAGCACCTCGACGACGAGGGCGAAGGCCTCCGGGTCCTTGAGGAAGCCGCCGATGTCGTAGAAGCGGTCGATGCCCTTGAAGGGGAAGTAGGGCGTGACGGACGCGATGCGCTGGGCCACGGGGCCATCCTGCGTGTAGTCGGCCCGCGACGTGCCCGGCGTGCACGGCGTCGATTGCATCATGCCCATGTGTTACCTGCCGATGGCGCGACGATGACGACGAGGCGCGCGCGAGAATCGTCGCGGGACGCCGGACGGCGCGCCGAGGGAGAGACGCAGCCTCAAAGCGCTGCGAGGTAGGATGGTGTGGCGTTCGGCGAAGCTTCGGCTTGATGACCTGCAGCAGGCTCAACGCGCTCCGTGGCAGCCCGGCCAAACGGGCAGCCCAACGACAAAGATGGAGGTCGACGGCGGGCCCGGCCCGGCCGCGGAGGGCGGCGCGGCGGCGGCGTCGAGCTACGACGCGGACCTCAAGCGGGGCATGGAGGCCCTCGAGCTCGCGCGCGCCTACCTCGACGGGGGCGCCGCCGCCGCGTCGCCGCCGCCGCCGGCCGCCGCCGCGGCCGAGGCCCGGGACGACGCCCGCGACGAGCGGCTCGCGGGCCTCTCCAGCGACGTCGAGGAGGAGCGCGCCTACGCGGCCTACGCCGGCGACGCGTCGGACCCGGCCTTCGCGTCGGCGCTCTCGTCGCTGCTCGACGGCGAGCGGTCGGACGCCGCGCCGGACCCGAACGCGCGGCCCGACTTCGACGCGCGCGGTCTTCGACCGTCTCGGCGCGAGCGCGCGCGCGCTCCGGGGAGAGGCCGCGACTCGTCCGACCGTCGGCCGCGTCGCCGCGGCCGAGCGTTCCGAAGTTCGGCCTCCGCGCAGGTCCGAGGACGTGCTCAGCTCGGCGCTGACGAACCTCGCGCTCCACGAGGTCGCCGCCGCCGGGCCCGCGGCGGCGCGGCTGCTGGAGCACGGCGCGACGCCCGTCCGCGCGGACGCCGTCCGCCTCCTCGCGGCGCTGCGGTGGACGAGCGCGCGCGGCGCGCTCGAGCGCGTCCTCCGCCCGCGCGGCACGTCGCGCGCGCGTCCGCCGCCCGCGCGGACGCCGCGCGTCCGCCGCAGGTCGCGGCGCGCGACGCGGACCGCGACCTCCGCCGCGAGGCGCGCTGGGCGCTGGAGCGCCTCGACGGCGACGCCGGCGACGCCGGCGGCGCGGACGACGACGACGACGACGCGACGGTCGTCGACGCGTGCGCGCGCGCGGCGCGCGCCGGCGCCCCGCGCGCGCGCGCGCCGCCGCGGCATCGTCGGCGGGGCCCCGCGCAGGTGCTCCTCGACGGCGACGACGACTCGGCCGCGGCTCTCGCGCCCCTCTGCGACGGCGCGGCGCTCCGCGCGCGGCTCGAGCGGCGGCGCACGCCGGACACGGCCGCGGCCATCGACGCGGCGCTCGCGTCCGCGGGCGAGCCGCCGGGCGGCGCGACGACCGCGCGCGGGCCCGACGCGCCGCCGCCGCCGGCGGCGGACCCGGACGACGTCCTCGCCAAGGTCGACGAGGCCATCGCGCGCATGAAGCTGAGCGTCGACGCGGCCCTCGGCGCGCGGCCCAAGAAGGCCCGGGGCGCCAAGGCCGCCGCGGCCGCCGGCGACGCCGCGGCGCCGCGCGGCGCGCGGCGCGACGGCCCCCGGCGGCGGCGCGGCGGCTCCGCGGACGGCGACCGGCAGCGGCCCCTCGCCGCGTCGTCGTCCCTGCCGACCCTCCCGCCCAGGGCGCGCGCGTCGACGTCCTAAGCACGCCGCCCTCAGTAGTACTTCTCGCGCGGCGCGGCCGCGGCCGCGGCCGCGGCGACGCGGCCGCCGAGGACCGACTCGTAGGCGCCGCGCGCGCCGTCGACGACGCGCCGGAAGGCGGAGGTCGACTTCGGCCTCGCGGCCGTCGCGCCGAAGGGGAGCGCGTTGTCGTTGATCGAGAGCGAGATGAAGAGCGAGAACGGCACGAGCCAGACGAAGAGCGTGAAGAAGCCGAGCGAGTTGATGAAGGGCAGGGGCTCCACGCTCAGGTCCGCGAGGTGCTGGAACCAGGAGTAGTGGCCGCCGAGGAACGCGGCGACGCTCGCCAGAAACGCGGGGCTCGAGAGCTCGAGCCGCGGGTAGTCGTTGAGGAGCCACGCGTAGCACGCGTGGCAGGCGACGCCCGCGGCGACGCGCCGCAGCGGGTAGCCGTCGAGCCAGAGCACGGCGTGCGCGGCGACCACGGCCCGCGTCGCGTAGCCCAGCAGGCGGCCCGTGAGCACGCTGTGCTCCTCCGCGAGCTCCGCGGCGTAGTAGAGCCCGCAGCTCAGGCACAGCGTCGCGCCGAAGACGGCGAGGTAGCCGCCGAGGAGCGTCAAAGCGTAGGCGAGCCAGCCGCCGACGAGGCCCGCCATCCCTCACCGCAGGCGCTGGTGTACCAGGGCGCGCTCGAGCCCCACGCGGACAGCGTCGGCGGCGCGCGCGCAGGCCGTGTGGTAAAATGAGGCAAACTCGAGGGCATCATTGACATTCGCCGCGAAGGCTCGCGCGCGCGCGTCTCCTCGGCTCAAAATCCAGGCCCAACGAGCGTGATGGCGCCCGCGCGGAAGCGCCGCGGTAGCCGCGCGGCCCCCGAGCCCGAGGCGGAGGAGGACGTGGAGGTCGTCGCGGAGAAGCCGAAGCGCGGGTCCCGCGGCGGCGGCCGGAAGCGGTCGAGCGAGGGCGGCGGCGGCGACGGCGGCGACGGCGCGGCGAACAAGGCGCGCAAGTTCAAGCTCTACCAGGACGCGACGACGGGCCGCTACGAGACGGACCCCTTCGAGGGCGACGGCGCCGGGGCCCTCGGCGAGGTCAAGGACAGGGAGAAGGAGAAGGCGGAGGCGCTCGACCCCAAGGAGCTCGCCGCGCTCGTGTCCAAGATGGCGCGCTACATGCTGCTCCGGGGCTCGAAGAAGGCGCCCATCGTCAAGGCCAAGGTCGCCGACGCGGTCATGGGCGACTACAAGAAGCTGCGCATCACGACCTACGTCTTCGGCAAGGCGCGCGACCTCCTCCGCGACGCGTGGGGCTACGACCTCGCGCCCGCGCCGCCGTCGTGCGGCGACGTCGAGTTCCGGGGCCAGGCCAAGGACGCCTGGTACCTCGTCTACGCGCCCCGGCTCCGGTCCGCGAAGCACGCGGCGCTGGCCGCAAACGGGCTCCCCGAGCGCGAGCTCGCGGCGCGCGGCGTGCTCATGGCCGCGCTCGCGATGGTCCAGGCCCACGGCGGCGCGATCCGCGAGAAGGAGCTCTACCGCATGCTCAGCGCCGTCGACCCGCGCCTCCCCGACGAGCCCACGCAGAACCCCAAGTCGTCGCGGAACGAGGTGCCGGGCGTCGGCAACGTCGCCGCGCTCCTCGACGAGTTCAAGGCCCAGCACTACGTCGTCGCCTCCAAGGACACGGAGGACGAGCCCACGCTCGCCCTCGGCCCCCGCGCCCTCGTCGACGTCGGCCGCTACCAGATCACCCAGTTCCAGGCCGACGCGCTCGGCCACGCCGCCGTCGACGCGGCCATGATCCAGGAGCTCGCCGACGCCAAGCCCCCGGACGCCGCCGAGGCCCAGCAGTGAGGCCGCCGCCCCGAGGCGGCGGGGCCGACACCGCGCGCGCCTAAGACGCGCCGCGTCGTCCGAAGCGTCGTCCGGGGCCCCGGCCGCGCGCGCCTCCGAGTCGGACGACCGTCAACGTCGCGGCACCGTCGCGGCGCGCACGGCCGCAAGGTATCAACGTTGTTCGCCGCGCTAGGCATGGTGCTCATCCAGCACGTGATCCCGGCGACGCCCGGGGCGCCGGAGCGCGTCGAGTGCGAGGCGGCGACGGAGTCGTCGGCGTCGAGCCCGCCGAAGCTCCTCCGGAGCCTCGCCGCCGTCGAGGCGCGGGCCGCGACGGCCAAGGACAAGAGCCACCTGCGCGAGACCTACCTCGTCGAGTCCGGCGCGCACCTGCGGGCGCTCAAGTGCCTCGAGGCGAACCTCGGGCGCACGGCGCAGGCCGACGCGCGCGGGTCCGTCTACAGCCACGACGTCCTCGAGGGCTACCTCCGCTGCCGCTTCATGGCGCGCGCGCCGCGTCCTCCGGAGGCCTCGCGCGGGCGCCGCGGGGCGCGCGCGGGCGGCCGGGCCGCGCGGCGGACGTTTTTTTGCGCGCGGTCGCGCGCCGGGCCGGCGGCCGCGCGTCCGGGGCCGCGCGCGCCGCGCGGCGACCGACCGATCGCGCGCGCGCAGGTCTACGACAAGACCGGCAAGGGCCAGATCGACATGGCGGACTTCTCCAAGCTCCTGGGGCTGCTCAAGGACGGCCGGGCGACGGGCGACCTGGAGAAGGAGCTCACGAAGCTCCACGTCAACGACGAGGGCAAGATCGGCTACTTCGAGTTCATCCAGTGGTGGTGCCGCGAGGACGACTCGATCTAGGGCGCCTTTCTATAGAGGGACGTGGACGCCCCCGTCCTAGGAGCGGTAGTCCGCGTTCTCCGTGACGTACTCGTGCGTGAGGTCCGAGCCGAGGACGACGGCGACGACGGCGGCGTCGCCGCCGAGGTCCACGTCGATCTCGACGCAGCGGCCGTGCGGCGGGCAGCGGGGCGCGTCCGGGTCGTCGGCGCCGAGGCGCGCGGCGCGCATGTGGGCCGCGAGGCGCCCCTCCTTGGCCGCGTCGAGCGCGAACTGGCCGCGCTCGAAGATCGTCTCGCCGCCGAGCGCGACGCGGCAGGGCGAGCCCTCGTCGAGGAGCGCGGCGTCGCCGCGCGCGCCGAGGAGCTGGCCGACCTTGGCGACGACGCGCCCGACGTTCGGGTCGTCGCCCGCGACGGCGCACTTGAGCAGCGGGCCGTTGACGACGCCGCGGCCGAGCGCGCGCGCGGCCTCGACGGTCGCGTCGCCGCGCACGGTGACGCGGAGCACGTGGTTCGTGCCCTCGCCGTTGCGCACGACGTGGTGCGCGAGCTGGCCCAGCACGTCGCCGAGCGCGGCCTCGAAGGTCGCGTCGTCGCACGGCGGGCCGACCTCGGACGACGCGACGAGCACCATGTCGCTCGTCGACTCGTCGCCGTCGACGCCCACGCTCCCGAGGCTGTCGGCCGCCGCGCGCTCCAGCGCCGCCTGCATGGCCCCGCGGCCGCCGGCGACGCGCGCGTCCGTGAGCACGAAGCAGAGCATCGTGCCGAGGTTCGGCTCGATCATGCCCGCGCCCTTGACGACGCCGACGACGGACCCGCCGCCGGGCAGGTCCGCGCGCGCGGCCTTGGCGTAGCGGTCCGTCGTCATCATCGCGCGCGCGACGTTTGCGGCGTCGCCCCGGGCGAGCGCGAGCGCGGGCGCCGCGGCGACCATCTCGGGCACGGGCAGCGCCCAGCCGATGACGCCCGTCGACGCCGACGCGACGGTCCCCTCGAGGCCCAGCGCGGCCGCGACGGCGGCCGCGACGGCCTCGGCGCAGGGCTCGCCGAGCCCCGGCCCGGGCCGGACGTTCGACACCTTGTTGTTCACGACGATGGCCTGGAGCCGCGGCGCGGACTGCGCGAGGAGCCGCCGCGCGAGGGACACGGGCGCGCCGCAGAGCCGGTTCCGCGTGAGCACGCCGGCGACGGCGTCCGTCGGCGCGTCGAGCGCCACGACTCCCAGGTTCATCGCCGCCGCGGCGCCGCCGGGCGTCTCGCGCGGCACGAACTCGAGCGCCGCCGTCGCGCAGGAGAAGCCCGCGGGCAGCGCCGCGAGCGCCGCGACGCGCGCGTCCCAGGACGCCTCGTCGGCCGCGAACTCGCGCACGTCCGCGCCGAGCAGCGGCCGGCGCGGGCCGGCCGGGCCCGCGAGGCCCGCGGCGCCGCCGGCGAGCGCGACGAGGAGGAGCGCGCCGGCCGCCGGCATGGCGTCGCCGGCGAACGCGGCGCTCGCGGTGGTGCGCTGCGGCTTGCTGCTGGGCGCGCGGTCTCAGAGGCCTCGGATGCTTACCTCCAACTGAGCATGCATGCGGCGCTTGAACTTTAGCTTGCACGGCAACTTGCGCGCGTGATCAAATGGGCTGCCTCCCCGCCTGACCTCAGGTGAGGGCCGCATCCCCGGCCGGACGATGATGGAGGTCGTCGACGAGGTGCGGAGCGTCGTCAAGAAGTGTGACCTCGTCTTCCTCACCCAGCTGTCCACAGGTGCGGAGCGTCGTCAAGAAGTTTTACCTCGTCTTCCTCACCCAGCTGTCCACCCCGCCTCGCATCACCTACGACCTCGGCGAGCTCGGGCCGCCGGCCTCGACTTCGGCGCGCTGGGGCGCCACGAGCGCGTCGACTTCGAGGCGACGAACGAGCGCGGCTTCGAGCTCCGGTGCAGCCTCTGGCGCGCGTGCGCCGCCGCGCCCCGGGGGGTGGTATTGTACGCGCACGACTTCCTCGACTGCCGCTGCTCCGTCGTCGACGTGTTGGCGCCGGCGCTCGCCGCGGGCTTCGCCTGCTGCGCCTTCGACTCGACGGCCTGCGGCCTGAGCGGGGGCTGCCACGCGACGCTGGGCTTCTTCGAGCGCTACGACGTCGCGTGCGTCGCCGCGGAGCTGCGGTGCCGGTTCCGCCTCGGCGGCCGCCACGAGCCGCCGCTCGCGGTCTTCGGCCGCGGCGCGGGCGCCGTCGCGGCGCTGCTCTTCGCCGACGCGCGGGACCACGGCGCCGCGCCGCGCGACGCGCGGACGCCCCGGCTCCGGCGCGTCGAGGTCGCCGCGGGCGGGGCGCCGGGCCTCGCGGGCGCGACGTTCTCCGCGTCGCGGCTCTACGTCGTCTCCAAGCCGCCGCTCGTCGCCGCGGCCGTCGACCGCGGGTCGCCCGCGTGGGCCGCGGGGCTCCGGCCGGGCGACGTCGTCGCGGGCCTCGACGGCGGCACGCGGCTGCCCCACTCCCACGACGAGCTCCACGCGGAGATGGCCTTCCGCGCGGCCGCGGGGCGGCCCGCGACGCTCACCGTCGCGCGGCCGCGGCCCCTCGACCCCGCGGAGCTCACGGCCGCGCTCGGCGGCGGCGCGGCGCCCGCGCTCGTCGTCGCCGACGCCGTCTTCGGGACCGTCAGGGGCCTCTTCTGGGACCTCGCCGCGGCCGCGGCCGCCGGCGACGGCGCCGGCGCCGGCGACGGCGACGGCCCGTCGCGCGCGCAGCTCTCGGCGGTCTGGACGCCCCTCTCAGCATCGTCCTCCACAGCGTCCAGAAGCGGTCGCTCGCGGACCTCGGCGCGATCGACGCCGGCGGGGCCCGGCGTCCGACGCGCGGGACGGCGCGGCGCGCCGGGGCCGCGGCGCGCGCGCGCCACCGCCGCGCCTGGCAGGCAAGGCCGCGAGGCGCGCGGGCGTCGCCTGCCTCTTCCTC